CGATTTATCCCAAACAATGGTGTCTTCCAGAAGGCCCTCAAAATAACACACCAGTTCTCAAATTAGCAATATCCGTAGTTTCCTTTCAACAGATTGCATTCCGTTAATCTCAATTAACTAAAACATTAATAAATTATGAACATTTGTTTTTGTAAAGAAATTATTTAATTTAATAACAAATGAAATGATTTGAAGATTTTTCTGGTAAATTAGCAGCAGAGAATCGATGATCAGTTTCAAAGTCCTCATTTCTGTTGAAAATTTTACTTGGACCGCTTTTATTCGCGAGTACATTTGAACAAATCTTACGATATTGCGATTACTCACTGTAGTTCGATACAAAATAATGTTATTTTTTTTTATTCTCACATGTGTTTAGTAATTTACGACAGAATATTTTATGACCAAACAATAAGTTGTTTTGAAAATTTCAGGTTAATAAAAATATCTTATATCGTTTGTTATCTAAGTTCAAATACGTTTTATTTTATGATTTAAGTGGATGTTTATACATATAAATATTTTTATCCTTAATTCGTTTCATTTAATAATTTCATTCCATACATATTTAGATTAATAGATTAAAAATTTATATAAGAAATAAAACGTTAGAAATTAAAAATTTAATATTAATAATTAATTCTTATTACTTGTATTTATTTCTATTCATTTCATCTTCAGAGCAGAAGAAGTTAATTAGTTCAAATGAAATGACTTTTAGGTATAGTTATGACGTGTCTGGAACGTCACTGCCGTCGTGACCAGGTTTGAAAATTTGCAGCAAAGATGGCTCCACATGATTAATGTTGATGGTGATTACGAAATTGTGATCGTTATCTGATTTGCCAATAATTTTCTTTTTTCCACTAGTGTTTAAATTATTTTTCTAAAGCATGATAACTATTTATACGAAAGAGTAAATGATAATCAAATGCTTAATTCAAATCGTATATTTGAATTAAATTAGGTATTAAACAAATGAATTATAATTTAAGAAATATTTTGGCAGTACGTAGTTGTGAGACTCCGCACTACGTAATTTATTTTCATAACTGAATCATAACATAATGTCTTTACAATAAAATTTTGTCAGATAACTGTCAACTTTCACACCTGGGACTAAACCGTTTATGTCCTCTGCAGCAAAAACGATGCTTTCTCATAACCTTCCGACCTACTGTCTCGATTTCATCAGTTTAATATAGATAGAAACTGCAAGTTTAGGCAGTCGTCGCCAGTCCCTCTTGGATTCAAGTCATTAAAATTTTCCTGTGTCAGTGCCAATCATACTGTCGGATTTTCACATTTCTTCCAACTGTGCTTATAAGAAGAACTTTCTTCATTCAGACCTGTCCAGACCGAACGATCAAAACCCAAATCTTCGAGATTCTAATCTCAACCTCAAATCAAGAATCATCACCATCAATGCAGGTATTTCCCGACTCGCGAACAATTGTCGATATATTGTATCATGTACTCTTTATCGTTGAACATAAACGATTATTTAGTTGTTAACTTTAGTGTCTGAGTACTTTATTTCTATCGGGCTATCTCTCTGTCTGCATTCGGAACCCGATCGCTCGTTCATCTACTTTCTTTTTAACCGAAACTAAATCGCCGTCGCGGCTCCCGAGTCAACCGAGACACGGTGCTGTCCGTGCTGACAGGCATTAAAGAGATGCCGACTATCCGATCACATAGTTCAGTCAGTGCTTTATACCAATAAAATACTTTTTAAAACTGAGTGCCTGACAATAAAACGTTTGCAGGTTGGATTAAATCTAAACATATGGTCCAATATCATATTAATTTTTATTGGCAGAAATACATGAGTAATAAAAATTTTTCCAATTACAGTAACGAAATTTATTCATATTTTATTCACAATAACGCAAATTCATTTCTTTAATGAACGCATATGTTTAACAGAGAAGTTATTAAATTCAAAGAATAATCTCTAAGCAAATGGTAGATACGATGCGAGTAGTAGGCATATGACACATACTAATGACAAAATTAATTTCAGATGTCTATTAAATTAAAATTACAAATATATTTTAAAATTAAATTAAAATTGCAAATAAAAATTTGTCAAATAAAGTTATTTCAGATCACAAAATTAATTTTTCGATTACAAATCTTTAATAAATTAATTTTATTTTAACAACAAGGCAAAATTTCTGTATTAATTATTAAATGTTTTTATAAATTCGAATTAAATTAATTTTATTTTAACAATAAGAAAAGTTTAATATATTCTTTCTAATTACTATTAAATTAATTTGCAATAATAATTTAAGATCAAAAATCTCTCGAATAAATTAAGATTATAAATATTTAGAAAACTTTTTAATTTGTTTCGTTTTAGTTCTCATAAAATATCTTGTAACAATAATGCTGTATTAATTATTAAAATGTTTTTATAAATTTGAATTAAATTAATTTTATTATAACAATAAAGAAAGTTTTAATTTGCAATAATTTCAGATCAAAAATCTCTCATCTAAATAATTGTAGTAACAGTTTTTAAAAAGAATTTTTTTTCTATGTGTCCACCTTTAAATAAAAGTAATTCATTATACGTTGTGAAGAAGTAATTTAATAACTTTTGTAAATTACTCCAGCCAGTTATATCCGATGCCTTTTCTCTATAAAATTTAATTCATTAATTTTTTCGCTAGTAAAATCCACTTGCCATTGATCATTCGCTGATAATTGATACTTTTTAACAGAATCTATATAAATGTCTATTACAGCTTTTATAAGACTGTGAAACGTTTTTATGGCCAACTGTCGATAACTTGAAATGCTTCAAAATCTATTAGGATTAGTTTTATTTTATATTTAATAAGAAAATAACGAAAAGTTTTCATACATAACTATTTTTTACTGACCGTATAGAATGTTTGTTGATATACCAAATGTCTTTTCTTCCTATTATTGATATTATATTCAATTATTTCATCCATTTTATCAAATTGTTAATGTGAAATCTATAAAAATATAATTTTTAAAAATTTATATTGTAATTGAACTGAAATGAAACTTATGTTTTTAAAATTTAAAAAAAAATTTAGTTACTAAAATGAAATGAAAGTAAAAGATTATAAAGTATAAAAATTTAACTCAAATTGTACAGTAGCAATAATAATAATATTAAAATAGTGCCTTTCTATAAATCAAATTTGTACTGTATAATCAAACCAACTCATTAATCTTTGAGTTACTGTATGGATTATACTAAACCATAATTTCTTTGAAATAATAGTTATTTAATAAAAGATGTTCTAATTAAAGATATTTATTTATTTAGCGTATGGCTACACATCTAATTGTTAACAAGAACAGAAAGCAGAAGAAGTAAGAACACAAATCATATATGTAAATCTAAGTTAGAAATATAGTTTAAAGCACTTTCAGTCATAATCAGGAAGTCACTCAGTTGTCCTGGAAAAGATCTTACTGGACAATCTTCCAAGATATGATGTATAGTCTGTCTTTCAGCACCACAGTCACACTGTGGGGATNTTACTGTCCATAGGATATCCATCTTTGCATTCCACACCTGTATTAGAAAATTACTTTACTAACAACTTCATACATTGTTATATACAACAGTAGATAGAAGAATGTTTACAACTACTGTATAAATACTTTATTGTTTTAGAAGTAATAGTTAACATAAAATAGTACAGCTGAATTGAATATGGAAAGATATCGGAGAACGAAAACACTCTGATTTCAATACAAATAAAAGTTGCTAAACTTTAAAATAGCGAGAAATCTGTTCATGATAGTACATTATGTTTATTTTATACAAGTAAAAGTAGAAGAATATTTCTCACCAATCAGCAATACAAAAGCGATGATCAGTATCAAAATCTTCATTTTTTTCGGCAATTCTTTTAGTCAGCAGTAGATTTATTGAAAAATCTTGATTTTCCAACTATTTATACAGAGATTCGACACAAAATTTTCTATTTTGATTGGCTTAAATTTCGCAAATGTTTAGTTATTTACGACAAACGTTTGTATAATAATTTTTAATCGCATTAATAAAATTTATGTATTTTTACATTTGGCCAAAGCAATAAAGTAGTTTCCACAGATTTACGTCTATTTTTCTGGGAATTTGTATTTTGTGTTCGAATCTCAACATATTTTGACCTGTAAAAATTAATGTTGTAATCTTCCTGATCGAAAATGCTCATACACACTAATTCCACTTAGTTTATTTACGATTTACATTAAAGAATTTGAATGATAATATGCTCACTATGTGGCACGCGGACTCAAAAACAAAAAAAAAATGATTTTCGAAAATTCGTTGTTGGATTATTGGCTTATACAATTATTTAAAAATATCTTACCTCAATTTATTTTAATGTAGAAGATAACTTCTTACATTGATGTATGGGATAGCAATGGGACAATTATAGGCTGTAAACTAGCGAAGTTATTCATATTGCTATTCTTGAAAGATTGGAACATATATAGAGAGTAATTTTCCACGTAAGACATGTTAACGATATTTTCCTGACGTTTGATACTGAAAAATAAATGTTTTTTAGAGAAATTTTCCGGTCTAAACTAAGAGCCTCATCTATTCGCGCCCTGAAAAACAATATTGCCGATATACAGTTCTATGACAAATAATTACAAATGATTTTTAAAATAAAATTAAGATTACAAATAAAAATTTGTCGAATGTAATTATTTCAGATCACAAAATTAATTTTTCGGTCACAAATCTTAAATGAATTAATTTTATTTTAACAATAAGGAAAGTTTAATATCTTCTACCGCTTTATTGCTTCGGCCAAATGTAAAAATACATAAATTTTATTAATGCGATTAAAAATTATTATACAAACGTTTGTCGTAAATAACTAAACATTTGCGAAATTTAAGCCAATCAAAATAGAAAATTTTGTGTCGAATCTCTCTATAAATAGTTGGAAAATCAAGATTTTCCAATAAATCTACTGCTGACTAAAAGAATTGCCGAAAAAAATGAAGATTTTGATACTGATCATCGCTTTTGTATTGCTGATTGGTGAGAAATATTCTTCTACTTTTACTTGTATAAAATAAACATAATGTACTATCATGAACAGATTTCTCGCTATTTTAAAGTTTAGCAACTTTTATTTGTATTGAAATCAGAGTGTTTTCGTTCTCCGATATCTTTCCATATTCAATTCAGCTGTACTATTTTATGTTAACTATTACTTCTAAAACAATAAAGTATTTATACAGTAGTTGTAAACATTCTTCTATCTACTGTTGTATATAACAATGTATGAAGTTGTTAGTAAAGTAATTTTCTAATACAGGTGTGGAATGCAAAGATGGATATCCTATGGACAGTAAAGGTTGCAAAATCTCCTGTGTAATAAATGATAAGTTATGCGATATCGAATGCACACTGAGGGGAGCATCGAGTGGCTCTTGCTATTCTTGGGGACTGGCCTGTTGGTGCAAGGGACTTCCGGAAAACGCCGAGGTTTGGGATAGTGACACAAATAAATGTGGTGGAAAATAATGTAACTGTTCTTCCAAGCCGCCGCTGTAAAACAATGTAAACAATCCTTACTACTAAAAAATAAAAAAATAATGTTATTCGAAGCATATTTGTAATTTATTATTGTAGTTTCTCAAACAACATTTTCTAAAATCAAAATTAGATAAATCTGGTGCTTATTTTAATTTTAAACGACAATTTAAAATTAAAATAAGCACCGGATTTATCTAATTTTGATTTTAGAAAATGTTGTTTTAAACAAAATAGAATATGGAAATTTTATTAATTTTTAAGAGACGGAATAATTCATTTCGAGAAATATTTAAAAAAATACACTATTTTTGTCTTGATGCCGATCAGTCTTAGTGAACTTTGATTTTCGACGTGACAAAAACAATACAATTGTTATTATACAAATTTATTAAAATAACACTTAGAAATATGTTTAGATTTTAATGTCAATGTGAACTATAATATTGTTAATAATTTATAAGCAGCATTTATTTGATAAACATCGTAATTTTTGTTTTGGTAATATCACTCACAATTGCGTTTTTGAATTTCTTAGAAAATTTAATAAAGCATTAAATATACTAACACGATATGTATCGAAGAGAATGTACAGAGAAATGATGAACATTCCTTTATGCCTGCTGAAACATTGAATTAATGAAATTTGGAAATGAAAAAAGATAACTATTTCTAACTACATTAGAAATCACAAAATATAATTTTACGAACTTCATTTTTTGTACTAATTTTAGAGTAATAATACGCAATCAGGGTAGTGTTTAGGGTCTAGAACTTTTCACTTTTGTAAGTAAATAAAAAGTAAAATCATTATTAGTGGCTATATTTACGTTTGTACAGGAGAGAATGTAAGTTTGCCCGTTTTAATTCGAATACTCTAGTATCAATTTTAATTACTCTACAATTCATATCTGTTAGTGATACTTGAAGGTATGTTATTATAGGCAAATAACATTATCTTTTTAAGGTTAATACAGTTTTAACTCAAGTAAATATTAATTTATTAGATACAAGTTAAGAATTTTTTTTTTTTTCAAAAGTATTTTCGAACGTAACGTTTGATATATACAGTAGATTTCCCTATAAGACGGTAGATACGTTCCGTTCTTTATGAATCAATTTTGTAGGAATCACAGTTTACGGATTACGGCTGTTTGAAAGGTTTTCTTCCATAAAATTAATCGATTCTAGACTAATTCAACTCAAAGTTTCCAAAATACGTATATTTTTTTGGAAACAATCCGTATAAACTACGTTATAAACAAAAAAATTGCAGGATTACTTACCGAGTGTGCATCGTTCGACTACGCCCGTTGCTAAAGCTTGTTTTCGTCGCGGAACAGCGCCTCAAACGGCGACCGCGATTTCTAATATTATTTTTCTGCGAAAACTTCGTTGACCTTTGGAGACATCCTTAATATAAATAATTTTTATGGCCGTTAAATAAGAAATGTTTCTTTCACAAGAAATGTANGCGTAGCGCTAGACGGCGGAGAGCATATATACATAATTATAATAAAGTTACAATAAATTAAGTTAATATATAATTATATATATAGTACCTAATTTATATATAATTATATGTACAGACGAAACTATACTCAATTTACCCGCCTAAACGTCCGTAGCGTAGAGCTACGGACGGCGGGAAAGTAGTTCGGCTGCCCGATGAAGTTTTACGTAATTATAGGAGTTTTTTACCCTTGTGTACGGATACCGCCACAATTTTTTTTGCCGTCTTATAGGAATCGTAACTATAGAAAACAGTTTTATAGGAAGATCTACTGTAATTAGTGACGTAACGAATATTTGGTTACTATTTGGTATTCGGCCTATTCGGCCAAATACCGTATACCTAAAAACAGGAGTAAGAAATAAAAAAACGCAGTAAATTAATCATTCTGGTATTTAGATTTAATGTTATCGAGTTAGTGTTGTTTGTTTATATTTATTTATAACTTGTAACATGCGCAAAATAAAAATTAAAATAATATTACTCACATGTATTCACAATTTATAATTACAAAGATCAGCATACGTACACACCTATTCGTTCGAGAATCGTCGCACATCTGAGGCACATCTGACCCTGTTAATCCTTCTTTTTAAGCGCTCGTCTTTGCTCTTCTCTTTCTCTTTTCTCTATCGCTCTAGTCCACGTATGCCTATGCATACATCATAATACGCCCTCACATACTTTCGATTCGTCACTTTTCCGTCGTAGATTTCCCATTTTACGTTACTCATAGGCTGGTGATAACGGAGAAAAGAGACAGATAGGACGTCGATATAAGTCACAGTTATGATTTCACAGATTCGAAACAGCTAGTTAGCCCGAACGACCCCAGACTTTCGCTAAGTGACTTTCATTACAAGCATTTAGCTTTCCGAAGTCTATGACAACAATTGCTTGGCATTCACAGCCACAAATTTCGGGCCAATAAGCTGCCTCGACTTGTTCGAAGCAGCTTATTGAGTTGAAAACATAATCGACTTGTTCGATTATGTTATCAACTCAATTTCATATTTATTTTCACATTTTCACTTTGTGGTTCTTCTCTGTTCTTCTTCCGTTATTTACACGTGTAGGCCATTCGTTGTTATCCACATTTGATGTCATCGTTTATCACATACTGCCATGACGCTCTTGTCTGAACTGTCAAGAATTAACGCGATTGGCGAAGCGTAGTGACAGTGGGCCAATAGAGAACAGGGTCCTTGCCACAATGCGGTTTGCGCGCCAATTTTCGTACGTGCGTTAATCGAGCCGAATAGTTTGCCGAATATTCGGCTATTCGACCACGCTCCTGGCCGAATATTCGGTATTCGGCGTGAGGCCGAATATACTATTCATTACAACACTAATATTAATTTATTCCAAGTTATAACTAATTATCTGTATAATGCATAGTTTTATAACAACAGACGAAGTAGTAATTACCATCACCAAGTGAGTTTGGTCTTTCTGTATTATATATAGTCTATGCTATTTACAAAGCTATTCTGTTATGCATTTTTGCCTGGGCGAAGCCAAATATACTGGGGTAACGTTAGCACTTTATTTTCCGAGTTTTAAAAAAACATTTCCACATTAGATTTTGATTGTTTCGATGTTATAATGCTGAGTAGATCCCTGGCGTGTGCATGAATAATTATCTGAATAATATAATTAACTCTCAGATTAAATATAATCAAAACACACTTACTCTTTGACGCTTAATAAGAAACAGCAATTTTGGCATTTTGAGTTGCTGATTTTTGGAATGTAAAGAAAGACAATTACTTCATATCGTTCAGATTTTGATGAATTTCAGTTGAACAGTGAAAAAGTTATCCGAGTTCAAACAAAAATTTCTTTCAACTAGAATAACTGGTATTTATGGCGCTTTATTTCTTTGTTATACAAGTCGGTAATTAAATTTTAATTTTTTTATAAGATGATTCTTCTTATAAGCATTCGACTATATTAATACTGTACTATATTTTATGACATTTATATAATATAAAGCGAAACAGTTCTGCTATCATTAGTTTTATACAAATTTGTTGCATACAATTGACCTACATATGCACCTGAATTTTTTGTATTTGAAAATAGAGGAAAATCGAAACTACTGTTTTGATGCATTGTTTACTTATTAAACATTAAAAACAATGGTTACAATTTCTGACCATAACTACCATGTTCTTTAGCACAATACATAACTGGTTTAGGCCCTCCGGTGGCGATTTTGGGTAATCATAAAGTTCATTTGCATAACAGCATACATGATAACATGAACAACCCAGGATATTTTCAATTAAAAATTGAATTATGACTATTTAAAAATATTTTTTTAATTTTTCGAATCTATCTTTCATCCTTTTAACACACCACAGAAGTAACAGTCTGTGGTGTGTTAAAAGGATGAAAGATAGACTCGAAAAATTAAAAAATCTTTTGTAAATAGTCATAATTCGATATTATTTTAGTTGATATGCGTTTTTAGCTGGCAGTACTGGCGTGTCCATGGAGAAAGTACTTAAGGAGACAAAAGGTAAAGATTATCCCTAGTTAGTCTCCATATAAACAAGATAGGAAGAAAGAAAAAAAAAAGATTATCCCTAGTAATAAAAGGTAATCTAGAATGCCAGACTTGTTTGAGAATAATACTTTCTAATAAATTTTTCAATATAAAAATATCATCATCATTCTGTGTGTGTTACACCAACCAATGCCGAATTAATGGGCTAGAAACAATTTTAATAATTATTGATAATTTAATAATTGGCAATTTTAATTTTAATAATACGTTTCCTGTCGCCGATATAGTCTAGAATTTGACATAAATTCGATGATTCGTTCTTCACTTGGTCCTCGCAGTAGTCGCCACCGATAGAAACTGAATCGGCTCAGGCACTGAACAAACACGTGGTCGGCTCCTTACCTGTTTCGGCAGCCATCTTGTCTCAAAAACAGCGCCCTCTGTCGGATTTGGCGCTTGCCAATAATATGATTTATAAGTTAATTTGATATTAGAATTAGACGCCGTCTCTTGCTAAATTTAATATTTATCATATTAATTAAATAATTTTAGAACTAACTGGAAGAACAGAATCGACCCACAGCGGAACTCGAACCCGCAACACTTGCACACCATGCATATGAGTTGCCAATCACGCTACGCGGTCTTCCGGTCTGAGTTCCTCTTCCAGTTTATAAAAGCTAAGAGGGCGCTGGATTGTGACAAGATTGCTGGTGAATATTTTTGCTCTGGTGTTTGTCAAAGTTTTTTGCTATAATTCTTATAATTTGTTAGCGAAGTTATACATTTTTGGAAAGCATTTTTCTTACTGATTAAGAATATATCAAGATTGTTAAGATTGGATTAATTTTTACGATTTTATAGGTTTTTGAAAATTCGGATTATTACGGCTCGATTATCCGGACCGTCTCGACAGATCAACCGGAATTTAACACGGAGGTTTCATCGCAATAACAACCTGAGTATATATTTAAAATTTCGG